CTGAGGTAAATGCTGAGAAAGCCTCATGCAGCCTCAGTTTCCAGGAAAACTGGCCTGGCCACTACATAAGTGTTGGTGGGAAGGGACGAGCTCTAACCCAGCATTCTTCTCAGAGACAGACCATAACCAACACTATTCTTCTGCCAGCCACAGTCCTTAACCCTGCAAGAAGGGCAGTTACCCACCTCCCTGGGCAATATGCCTCAGTGCTGCTCAGCCCCCTGTGATGTCAAGGGCAACTCCTCAAAGACAGCAGGGTGCTATGAGTGCTTTGGCAATGCCACAGCATGGGGGATGCTCTCTGATGCAGGTGCTAAAAGTCCCATCCTGGCCAGTTGCTGAGCACTGGACTCCAAGTGCTCCTACAGACTGAAGCAGGTGGCCAGGTTTGCCCACTGCTGGGGTGGAGGAAGGATTTGAACATGTCTTTTCCAGTGCATCACCAGGCCAGGCAAGGCCCAAGCTGTCCCTGTAGCTTCCTAGAGCTCTGAGGTCAACTCCTAGGGAAAAGGAGGACTCATGACCGCAAGTCATGAGCAGAGCTTGGGCCACCAAAGCTAGCTATGACTGACACCAGGAGGTCTTCTCTGCACCAATTGCAGAGGATGTTTTTGGAAGCTGTATCTCTAAATTTGATTTGATTATAGAATCATAGAATGCATGGGTTGGAAAGGACCTTTAAAGACCATCCAGTCCAGCTCCCCTGCAGTAAGCAGGGACATCTTTAACTAGATCAGGTTGCTCAGAGCCCCATCAAGCCTGACCTTGAATGTTTCCAGGGATGAGGCCTCCATCACCTCACTGGACAACCTGTTCCAGTGTTTCACCACACTCAGAGTAAAGAGGTTCTTACTAATGTCGAATCTAAATCTACCCTGCTCTAGTTTAAAATCATTGCCCCTTGTTCTATTGTAAAACACCCTTGTAAACAGTCCCTCCCCAGCTTTCTTGTAAGCCCCCTTCAGGTACTGGAAGGCTGCTAATAAGGTCTCTCCACAGCCTTCTCCAGGCTGAACAACCCCAACTCTCTCAGCCTGTCCTCACAGTAGAGGTGTTCCAGCCTTCTGATTATTTTTGTGGCCCTCCTCTGGACCCACTCCAACAGCTCCACATCCTTCTTGTATTGAGGACTCCAGAGCTGGACACAGCACTGCAGATGAGGTCTCACCAGAGCAGAGTAGAGGGGCAGAATCACCTCCCTTGATCTGCTGGCCACGCTTCTTTTGATGCAGCCCAGGATGCAATTGGCTTTCTGGGCTGTGAGCACACATTGTTGGCTCATGTCCAGCTTCTCATCCACTGGTACCCCCAGGTCCTTTTCAGCAGGGCTACTTTCTCTCACATCATCCTCCAACCTGTACAACAGGATGCTGGGTTGTATTAAAAAGCACATCACCAGCAGAGACAAAGAAGTCATTACCCCTCTTTACTCAGCACTGGTCAGACCACACTGTGAGTACTGTGTCAAATTTTGGTCCCTGCTATACAAAAAAGATGCGGACAGGTTGGAAAGGGTCAAGAGAAGGGCCTGGTATTCTATGATTTATGATTCTGTATTGATACTGATTATTGCCTCTACCCAGGTGCAGGGCCTTGCACTTGGCCTTGTTGAATCTCATGATGTTCACATGAGCCTACCTCTCCAGTTTGTCCAGGTCCCTCTGGATGATGTATCATACCTCTAGCATGTTGACCACACTAGTCAGTTTGGTGTCATCTGTGTAGCATAGAAGAGAGGGTTGTTTCTAACATAAAAACTTCATTAGCAAAATAACTGGAATAGCCCTTGCATCATCTAGGGAGGGATTTCTTATCATGGGGTGCCACGGGAGGGAGCAGGTTTGCTGAAAAGGAAGGCAGTCTGTCAGCTGATGGTAGCTGACGGTGCTGGCACAGCTTGATACCACTGGGTGACCAGAGTGCATGACCACTCATTTGGGAGTACTTAGAATGGTTTGGATTGGAAGAGACCTTTAAAAGTCATCTAGGTCTTTTCATCATCCAAGCTGGTGCAGACAGGAAACAAGGATGCTGGGGGTGTGGGATCAAGATTGTTTCACCACAGTACTCCAGCCATTACTTGTAATGTAACTGTTCTTCTGAAGTGTTAGCAAAGCAGTTTCCTTGAAAAATAAGAATATTCCAGAAAAAGTACTTCCCATACATGGTGGATGAGAGAATCCTCAAAGTGAGTCACTGGCAGCACTCAGAGCTTAGGCCTCCAGACATGTAGCAAAAGAAGAGGACAGGAATGCAGCTGGGGTGAGACACAGCTTCAACAGATTTCAAGTCTCCTTCAAGAAGCACCTAAGTGGTAGTTGTTTGAATGGTGCCAGGGGCTCCTCCAGCCCTGTTTTTAAGCATTGTTTTTTGTAAGAGAAAGGTGCAAACCTTGAGCTGGCATCTGCTGAGCTGCAAGCTGCAGCACTGAAAGTAGTGGGTGCTTCACCTCTTCCTGCAGGGTTGTTCAGTCTCACTGTATGATACTGTCCACAGCTATGTTTCTTCAGATGGTTTGCAAGAGATTTGGAAGTTCTTAGAGATGGTATCTGGGAATCAAGATGCGCATCATACTGCATGAAGGGGTCCAGATCTAGATGAATATTCACTGACTGAAATAACTGCTTCAACCATTGAGCTTAGGCTGCTCCTGGAAATGGCCAGCATGTGTACTCATGCCTGTCCTCACATTTTCTGTCAGCTTGCTCTGAACAGACAAGGCTGGATAAACTTTTCTTCTTTCCTCCATGGCTTAAGAATGGGCCAGGAAGTCTGTAAGCTCAGCATGGCCCAAGATGAACCACCTGTCTGGAGAAGGTTGCATGGCCTGCCCATAGCCACTCACCCATGGAAGGGTTTAGCTCTTGTGCTCAGAACAGCTTTTGTCACTGTTGGGTCACAGTCTTTATGCCTGTCAGCATGAAAAACAACTTGAAGAACTTTTCTCCCTGCACAAAACTGTTATTAAATAATATCAGGTGATGACCCTCTGGGATAGTCTATCAGCAGTGCTTAGTGCAGGACAAAAAAGATAGGCTGATAGCTGGAGTGTGGACCAGCTGCAGTACGGTAGGCTCCCCTGGGTTGTGCACTGTTTGCTGTAAACCAGTAGGATCTGGGAAATCTGAGTTCCTGAGTGCTGCTCCTGCATCCAAGCAAAGGGAGCTATGGTAGTGAAACCTACACATGTTTTCAGCACTTCTTGCATCAAGGCAGATGCTGAATCTTATAGACACCACACTGGAAATAGTCATCACCTTCCAAGGTATGTTTCAAGGGAATTTGTAACATTTCCTTTTCCTCTAAACAGGCCTGGCTGACAGCTGACCACACCCTGAGGCTGTTAAATAATCTGTCTGCTAGGAAGGGCTATGATATAAGCAGAAGAAGGGCAGTATGTGGGCTTTAAATGCACAATCGTCTGATTAATAGCATCCCCCATGCTCATGTGGATGTGGTGTATTACTCGACCTGGCTGTGTTGGAAGTCAGAATGAAATGCTGCAAATAATCTGGCACATGTGGGAGCTGTGAAGGGAAGTGATGGAGCATCCTCACGTGGGATATTTTACAGCTAGATGGGTCAGGCTGCTGTGTCCTTGTCAGTGTGTTGTATGCGACTCTAGAAGTCTTTGCTATCTCTGTTTTCCATTCGATGATGGGATGTTGTGTGTATATTGCCTCAGCTTAAGGCAAGATGCTCTAATGCCTGGGACACTGAATCAGGACCTAGGAGAGTTGAGAACCATTCCTGGGTGATCTACAAAGCTTCTTCATTTTTGGATGGTCTCTGACCTCCCTTAACTCACCTGTTCCATAAAGACACATCTCTTTCTCAGGGAAAGTACAAAGCTCTACATGGTTCTTCAATATTGTAATCAGTCATAGAGCAGGTCCTACACAGAGAAACTGGGGTTCATCTCACTCTGTAAGATATCTACCATGAGCTGGTTACCATTAACCTGCCTGTATAGCCAAGGAGGATTGGCAGGCATTCCTAAAGCATGGACTGTCAAATTTGGTTTTGAGATCCCCTGAGGGGGATGACTCTTGCAAAAGGGACGCAGATAACCAGGTCCAATGTAGATACCTAGAGTGCAAGGGTCCAAATCTGTGTCCATAGGCAGAACCAACACTCAGCGGGGGTGGTACCATGAGGCAATGGGAGGCAGCCAGCGACTTCTAGCCACCAGCTTTACTTTGGCATAAGGTGAACCACACGCATGCAGATTTTATCAGGTACAAAAGGCTGTGTTTTTCCCTCACAGCAAGAATCTATCTGATGTTCTAAAAAGTGCTGGAATTTAGCAGGAGATCATTGTCCCACATAAGGCCTTCACTAAATATTTGCTCTAAATGTGACACATGGTTTGTACAGAGAACATGGAAAAGTCACAAGCAATGGCATCTTACGGAGCCTGTGCTTTGGGGACTCCTCTGGAAAGGTTTACTATTCAGCTCCATCCCATGTCCCAGGGAAGCCACACTGTAGACATGAACAGGTTGCTCCAGAGGACAAAAAAGATGTTCTTCCCTCTCCTCCTCTTCCAATACCGGCTCTCTCAGGGCAGCGAAGGGGATGCAGTCTGCAGGTGTGCTGGTAGATAATGCATGCACAATTTCATTGTGACCACTGAAAGATACGTGTCCCCATGGAAAGCTGTACAGAGTTTCCAGCAGCAAAACATGTGAGTTTTCTGTTTTACCTTGTGATACAAGTGTCTATCTTCTTGAAGACAAATTTACAAAAACAAAGGTGTAGAATGTTGTGCTAATTCAAAGTACAGGCAAGGTTACCTAAGTGATGGGATTAAATAATTTGTGCAGTCCTGGGTCACATAGAGGTCTGCACAAGGCAGGCTGCAGGTGTTTGGTGGGCTGTCGTTGTATGCTGTAAATATTGAGAGGTGCTTATTTGTAATGTTAACACATTATACTTGATAGATGTAGCAGTACCTCAGTAAAGTCCTATATGTTTTCCTGACACTCTCTGTCTCGCAGTTTTACAGTTACGGCTTCAGCAGAGAAGGACCCGTGAGCAGCTGGCAGACCAAGGCATCATGCCTCGTGAGTATCTTTTTCTGCCTTTTTCATGCACTCCTGGCTCAGAGGGGTTGCACTCAACTTGGGCACTGTGTAGCACCAGCTGCCTGCTCAGACTCATGCAGGTCTGAGCAGATTGCTTTCAGGGGAGACTTTACTTCCTGCCCTGTAGAAATATTAAGGTCCTTGGTGCTGTACAGCAGTGCCCAACGTTGCCACACAGATTATAATGTCACTGCTCAAACTGAAGTCAGGAGAGATGCTTATCTTACACCACCCAAACATTCAGCTGCATAGCTCCCTGTCACAGAGGTCACTGTATCAGGACAAGAATATCCAACTTCAAGCAGACAACTCACAGAGCTCTTCATGTAGGCAAGGGCAGAGAATCTCACATCGTCCTGTAAAAGCCAGGAACCTCTGTGGCAGGATCAGACCCACAAAATGAGTAAGAGGAAGATAGGGCTCATTCCAGGAATATGTAGAAGAAGGAAGTGGTGAGTAACTGCCTTGGCCCCAGTGCGGAGAGGCAACCCCTGGATGAGTGAGACATACCCAGATCTGTGACTGTGCCCAGCCAGGACCCCTCAGGGCAGAACTGCCAGTGTACACTTGAGGCCAGTGAAAACCCACCTGACCCTGTCTGTTGCATATTGACAAATGATGTCTGTGCTTTCCCCCCTCTGACCACATTCATCCTTGGCATTCAAGCCTGAATGGCAAGCTCCAGGCAACTGTAATCATTCGACATCAGGAAGCCAGTTGCTAAAGCCCCAAAGAGTGAGTGAAAGTGATCCACTTCTGAATCAGTAGGTACATCATGAAAACTGTAGCACTACTGGAGAAATTATGTTGGAAGCTCAGCTCTGCTCGATGGATAACTCCATCCTGACCTAACTTTGGCTCCATGTGCATGAATCTGTGATTATCTGAGACCCAGGTAGAGGACTATCCTTTCTGTCTCAAGTGCCCCTTGTGTTCACTGCTAAGTTTCCAAAGGCTGTGTCACTATTGTCTCTTCTGGCCAACCTTGAAGACTGTGATGCAGAACAACTACTCCCTAAGAGCATGGCTATAGCACTACTTCCTGCACCCTGCCCATCCCTCGCCCTTCTCATGCAGCTGCCTTCCTAAAGAATTGTGTCAAGGTAGCCAGCAACAGATGCCTTCTCAGGAAAGTATAACCAGCATCAAACATTAGGAAAACTTGAGCAGGATGACAAAAATAATGACTGTCAAAATGATCACACAGTTATAAGACTGATAAATGCAAGTTCTTTTCAAAATTTTTTTAGCTTATTTCTTTAAGCATTCAGATTTTATGTTGCCTGCCACTAAAGGGCAAGTATTTTAATCACAGGACTCTAGGAGCTAGAGCTTTAAGCAAAATATTGTGACATTTATTATGATATAGCAAATACTAGCAATACAGTCTGTGCCCAAAAATATGTCTAGCATCTCCTGAACTGCTAAGTTCACTCTGTAAAAGTGGGCACAGTCAGACAAGGTGCAGGACATCCCATTACAGAAATATGGAGCACTAGTGCCAAATGGGAGGTTTGTACACCTGACACTGCCCTGCAGTGCCCAGTGCATGGAACTGTGCTTATACACATGGCACCTAACATTTAAAACTTTATACAATGCAGACCACATGTTAGGCCAAATGTATTTGATGGCAACTGAAGGGTATTTTTCCTGTTACTTGCAGTTTCTCTGCACTTCCAGCTTCTAGTTTGACATTTTGCAGTCTGGTTTCTGTCCAAGAAAGACATTTTAGGAAGCTTGACCACAGTTCATACACTGAAAGTAATAAAAGAAAAGGCACTTCTGCCATTATAAAAACAAACTACTGAATTCAACGTCAGGAGGAAGTGTCAGATGCTAGCATTTAATACATAGGAGCCTCAGCCAGATTCCCCATGGCTTGGGCATATGCAGTCATTCTTTATGAAAAATAAGTATTTTTTTGACCATATCTTCCCATGCTCTGTTTGCTCTGAGAATCAGCAGGTAAAGTGGGCTCTCGAAGATGCACTGGGACAGGAGCTCAGTTCACATGTGATGTGGTTTAGGCCCGGTGCATAACCAAGCATCAGGATGCCCCAAAAAAGGGGCTAGTCAAAATAAGGACTGAGAGGGCTTCTCACTACTTAAAAAGGTCATGTGCAAAAGACAGACTCATCATAAGGAATAAAAAACCAAAACAATTTTAATATTTTACCAACATCAGAGTAGAACAATGGGAGATACAACCAGATCTTAAAGTCAAAACACCTTCCCCCCACCCCTCCCTTCTTCCTGGGCTCAGCTTTTGTTCCCGCTTTCTTCACCTCCCCCATCCCCCCACCCTTTTGCCTTGAGGTGCAGGGGGATGGGAGTGGAGGTTGCAGTCGGTTCGTCTCATGTGGTCCTTCAGGGGTAGAGAAGACTCTGCCCAGCCTCTCTCACTGCTTCCACGTGGCACCCTTCCCACAGGAGAAAAAGTCCTCAAAAGTCCAACACGGGTCTGCCCACAGCTGCAGTTTCCCTCATACACAAAACTGCTTCAGCCCAAGTCCACAAAACTCCAATCTGGGTCTGCCCATGGTTACAGTTCCCTCACACACCAACTGTGCCAGCACACAGTGCCTGGAGTCACAGCTTCTTCAGGGGCCACCACCTGCTCATGTGGGCCAGCCCCACCGGTGAACTCTATGGGCTGCAGGCAGTCGACCTGGCTTGTAAAAGGGGAACCTGGGCTCTGCGTCCTCCTCCTCCCCCCTCTCCTTTCTTTCCTTCAACCGACCTTGGTGTTCTTCAAAAGTTGTTCTCCTCAGGCCCCACTCTTTTTTCTCCACTGCTCTCTTTTCAGGCTGGAGCTGTAGCAGGGCTTAAGCTTAAGTTGAGGTCAGGCCAACCGAGCAGGGCCGGGGCGACACTGATTGGAGCCAGTGCCAGAAAGAGTGAGAGCATGCCCTGCACCTCCCTTAAATACATGGATTTGCAGGGGTGCTGATTGGCTTGGCCCTGGTCAGAGGTGGGTCTGACAAAGGAAAAGGGGGAGCTTTTCAGGTGGCTTCTTAAAGGGCTGTCTCCATAGCCCTTCCCCCATTACCAAAGACACAACCAAAAACCCCTCACAGAAAACCCAATACAACATGCAGTACAGGTAGGCGAGAAATGAACCCATACGGTTGGTGACCCACAGTGGTTGAGAATAGCCCTTCTGGAAAAAGAAAAGATGGTCATTGCTGGTCTCCATGGTGAAAGTCAGGCTTGGTACCAGCCTTGAAGCATGCGCTTGATCCCACATCTCACATCAGATTTTGCACAAGGATTGTTTTCAACCCATTGTGTACATTTTCTGTTGATATAATCCCAGGACAGAGAATATTTGTTTTTCTAGCTGATCCATTTCATACAGAGACCAGAAAGAGAGATGGAAGGTCAGAGTAACAGAACAGCACTGGAAAAAAGCTTTGAGGGCTTGTAAAAGCTCTTGTAGGAAGAGGAGTTGATGATTCTATTCAGAGCCCACTGAGCTGTTCAGCAATACAGTTACAGCACAGTAAGCGTGAAACATTGGAGTAAGTCCTACTGAGTTGCCTGGTTCTTGGTAGCCAAGAGAATAGTGCAGGGAGAAGTGTCAGTGTTAGCTGGACATAGCACAGTGAAATTAATATCCTTACCAAAGCCCAGTCTTTGTTTGATTTGACTGGCAAAGATTAATGCCATTACATACTTGAGCTCTGTTCACACTCATTTGGATATTCCTCTAAGACATGTGAAACCTTCAGATGGCCCCATCACTGGAGAAAGCAGGAAACTGTCCAATGGAGGATTCTCATGAGCAAAAGGCAGTAGCGCTCCACAGGACTTCAGATTCAAAGCTAGACTCTGTCAGATGTTTTCAGGTTGTAAATTGAACAACTGGCTGGCAAAACAATCAACACTGCTGAAAAAGACTCTACAAATAAAGACAGGTGGAGGCTGGTAGACAAGGGCACCCTGTGGGTCCCTTCAGCCCCATGGCTCTGTGTATGCAGGATCATCTGAAAGCAAAGGGAGACCCAGGTTTGCTGAGCCATAGCCATGCTCCTGATGCATAGGAATGCAGGTCAGAGCAGACCCTGCCCCATTCTTCAAGCTCACCGAGTAAGAAGTTTCCAGTTCATGCAGCAATTCATGCAATTTTATTTTCCTAGTGAAACTAGTACAGACCCAGAAAACCATTTTAAATCAAGGCCACCTGGGGTCACTTGAAGAAAGACAGGCTGTAGAGCTGAGCATGGTAGAACCCTTCCTCCAAACCTGTACCAATGCCTGCCCTGGACCCCAGCCAGGTCCTGCTCATGTACCCAAAAGGAGGGGGAGGCATCTTGCAGGATCAAGGATTCCTCATGGCAAGGTTCCCCCTACAGTGATGGGCTGCAGAAACAGCTGTGCTTGAAGTAAAGACGCTCTTGCTGTATTCAGTCACCACCTCATCCTCTAACTCAACCCTTAGAGACAATAGTCCCAAGATTGTCACCACCAAGCAATGCATCTCTGCCCTGTTGCCTGCAAATCCTCAGCCATTTCAAGCTGATATGTCATTCTCTGACAAGTTGTCTGAATAACCAGTGCTAGCGATGTCTTTATTTGTTTTGCAGACTAATACAAGCTGCAGCATCCACACAATTCCTACAAAAATCTTGGTAAATGACTAAATTCTGCAACATTTTCCTCCTGAATAGCATGGGCATTTGGTCAATGCCCACAGCACACTCCCAATGCCAGTACTTCACAGTGAGCAAGGCTGTAAAAGTCACTTCTCTTGCTAACTTAATTTTCTTGTGTGCACTATTTTATTTTGCTTCTGATTAAACCAGCTGTCACAAGTCTTCATGGCTGCTCACTGGAACATGGCACAGCAACACTACCTTGTCTGTATGTCGGCTTTCAAAATGTTAGGAATAGGGCATTTTACTGTAGTTCACTGGAGGTTAGGGAGGTTACCCTGAGTGTTGCTTACCAAAAGCCAATTCAGAGGGTCCCCAAGCATTTCCCAACTGCCCCTAGTCTTCTCTTCATCCTTATCTAGACTGATGGAGGATAACATGTTCTATCTGAAAATAATTTCTGTCCTTTTTGGATTCCATTCAGAAGATGGAAAGGGAATTCCTGTTGCCAAGCAGTTGTAACAGACTGTTTTTGTGGGTCAGGACAGTTTCCCCTTCCCTTCCCTGTCCTAATGGGAACAGTGAATTTTGCTAGTTTACACAGACAGAAAAGAAGTTTTGCAAGATCTGAGAAATATTAATCCCTTCACCATCCAAATTCTGCTCCAATTTCTAGTTAACTAGAGTGAGAAAGGAAATGTTGAAGGTCCTCCATGAGTCCAGTACAGACTGCTTTATGGGAATGGTGTTCACTGGTCCAAGAGCCAGGGATTATTTGTTTCCCTTCAGGAGTCCCTCTGGGTTAATCCTCCTCGATGTCAGGAGATGCTGAGAGCATGATCTGCTGCCTGGTACCTGGTCTGGCAACTGCTCAGGGAGGTCCCATGTCGAAAAGATGCTTCTGTGCAGTGGACAGGACAAATGTCCAGTGAGTAAGAGCCTAAAGGACATGGAGGGTTAGTCAGTGATGGAAGAGGGACAAAGGACCACAGCTCCAGGTTCTTGCCCTGACATACTCTTCTGGAGTCTGTTCCCACATGGCCTCAAGAGGCGAGGCAGGTCTTTCTGTTTTTCCTGCTGGCCTCAAGACTCAGTCACTTGCAGATTTTGCTTCAAGGTGAGGTTCTTCTCTCAGGCTATTACTTTTCTCAGATCTGCCTTCTGGAGCTGTGGTGCTTTCTATGCCCTACAGGAAGCACTTCAGGGCAAGGCTGCATCTGCTTTCTGATGTGTCCCATGGAGCACTGAATTTCAAAGCCTGCACCCCCTCCCTGCCCATGTGCTTCCTGTGCTCCCTGTGCTCTTCATCCCCTCTGCTCTCTTGCCATGGACTGTCTGAGAGCATGGGACTTCCCTGAGCTTTCCTGAGTTATTTTTAGTCGGCACAATAAAGAGAACGGCTAGTTTGTGTTGCTATTTTTATAGCACTCATTAAAATGCTGTTGCTGAATATCCTGGTGGCTGCTTGCTTCCACTCCTGTGCTGACTGCTCCTCTTTCTTTCCTGTTGCAGCACTGAAAAGCCCATCTGCATTCCATGAGCAGCGAAAAAGTCTGGAGCGAGCCAAGGTAACTCCTGCAGCCATCCCAATGAGGGAACACGTGGTCTCGCTTTGCATGTATTGTGGGGTTTGAAAGCACCTTCCACCACTGTCCCTTCCTCTGGCATTCTGCATCAGACCCTGTGGCCAAGGATGAGGGTCATGGCCTCTTCCCTGCTTCCAGACATGATGGGGCCAAGCCAGGGTTGGCAAATGCTCTGGAACATGCTTTTCCAAGCAGGGGAGATTTAAAAGGGCAAAGGGGCCATCTGTGCCCTGAGCTATGGGGTTTCACAACAGCCCCTAGGTTATACAAGAGGCTATGGCCAGGATGTAGTTCATCATGGCATCGGCAGTTCTTCCAGTATATGTCCCACCAGGTCCAGACCAGGTCCACAGACTTCTCCTCATTGTGCTGGCTGCTCTCCACTCCTGCTCAGGCCAGCAGGGTTAGAGGAGGGCCAGCAGCAAACAGCACCAACAGAGCCAAACTATTTAGCAAGTGTGTGGGAGAAATGCAGATTTCCTTTGTCACCTGCAGTGAGTCCCCAGGGAGTTCACACTTGTCATCAGATGAGAGCCTGGCTTGGCAGTGCAGCTTGGCCATTATGACACATAGCATTCAAGGGGCTAAGTAAGCCAGACTCTCACCGGCTCCAACTGCACTCAGGCTTCCCTAAATATTGCTGAAGGCAGAGATAAGATAAGTAGTCATTTCCAGAGCACATCAAAACTCTGTGATGTGATCTCTTTTAGGGAAATCACACTGGTTTTCCAAGCACCTGACATCCAGCCTTGACCAAGCTGGAGGGAAAAGGGAACAATCAGTCATCCAGGTTTTGCTTGAACACAAGAGTTTGTTCCACTGATCTCCAAAACATGCTTGCAGTCACGTGGAAAAGGACCTTTGCAAGGAAGAATTATTTGAAATACAGAAAAGTGCTCTTCTGAACTTAAACACTCTCCAAATCACTTGCCCTGAATCTCCTGTGGTAATAAACAGCTAGCATAAGAAACATAATATGACTCTGAAAAATTAGTATGCTTACAAAGTTTCAAGCAATCCAAAGTATCCTTGAAGTGTCATATATTTTACAGTTTAAGTATACATTTCTGTCTCTTTGTCTTTCTCTTCAAAGGCTTTCACTGGCTAGTTGCCTGGGGAAAAGGAAGAATAGTCTAGTCTATCCAAAACAGCATGCATTTTTAGGACTCGCTAACAAAGACACTAATGAGCACAGCTGATAGCATATACTCGTTTGCAAGGGTGCTCTGCTTAGAGCTGTGACAGGGAAGGACCAGCGGCTGTTTCTGGATAATTACTCAATGGCATTTGTTGTTTAGCTGATATTCCTCCAATCTGATGTTCTGCAAATGGAAAGCAGATAACAATAACCCCTTTCATGTGTTTTGAAAGCTCCTCTGCTTCAGCTGACACTAAAAAAAGACCATATCTGAGGTCTTTCTTCACCATTTGCTTCCCAGTGACACAAATGCAGCTTATAAAACAGCAAAGGTCAAAAGGAACTGAAATCACAGCAGAAAGACAAGCTAATGCAGTGTGAATGCTGGGTTCAACGTGAATGATGCCACATCTGTAGGACAGCAATTCAAGTTTAGTCCAAGTCAGGACCTGATCTGAGGGTTCGCTGGAAATGTATTAGGTCAATTGAATTGCTCTCAGGTGCAGACACCAGCTTGCTCTGACCTGGCCCAGGAACCAGGCAAACCTACACATGGTCCAAATAAGGGATTGTGTTGGTAAAAATAAGCTGGGGAATAATATGGGGGGTAGGGTAAGAAACTGTAAAGACTTCAGTAAATAAAATGTCTATTATTTGTTTAAACATGTCACTGGCTATACTAGAGGTTGGCATCAGGCCAGTGCAGCAGACTTTGAAGTCAATATCCTTTAACAGATTGCTGGATTGGAGGACAGCAAGCAGGCTGACTTTCCTGAGGCAGTCTAGCTCAGCAGGCATGGCAGGGAGGGACTGCAGGGGACAGCTACTGTGCCTCTGCCCCAGAGCAGAACAACCCCATCAGGATCACTCCTGACAGTTGTGTGACCACTGACAGACTTCTCTGCCCCCAGCAGCCTGCTCCAGTGCTCTCTAACCTGTGCTGGTAGCAAGTGTCACTCGATTCCCAGCCCGAGCTTTTCTGTTGCAGTTTAAGCTCATCACTTTTTCTCCTACAGGCTTGCACATGCAGGACTATCTTTTTTCTTACAGCACTTTTAAAAAGCATTTTGCATCCTGTTTTCTGATAGCCATCTCACCTCTGCACTGACCAACATCCCCTCCCTCCCTTTATACTCTCCTCATTGATCCCATCCCTGGCTCAGTAATGATTTCTGTAGCTATCCCCCAGACCATTTCCATGGACCCTTTCAGATGAATGCCACAGAATGAGGCCTTGCTATTCCTAGGGTCCATCTGACATTCTTCATTGTGTCTCCTAGAAAGTTGCCTGCTGGTTTAGGAATGTGGTTCTGCTGCTGATCACTAGATTCTCCAGAGCCTTTTATACTTATTTCTCTACCTATGCAGTAACTACTTTATGCCCAAGGTCACTGTCCAATGACCATTACAGAAGCATCTCTGGTGGATTAACTCTTCATCCACCCCAGTGCTCCATCAGCTGTGACTGTGACCTGAATTCAGTCCTTTCCAAATGTCCTTGTAGCAAATGTATTTCAGATCATTTCTTCAATTATTTCAAATCATGCTGCAATGTAATCTGCTAGCTTTGAATGATTCAGAGTTAAGAAATATGTCTTCTATTATCCAAGGCAGTAATGAATATATTGACTATTAGGAAAAATTGCTGTGTAACATGATTTGATATATTCTGTTTAGACTGTGAGCCATTCCTAATTCCTCTGGTGACCCAAAGCTATCCTCCTCTTTTATGTTAGTCTTATCCAGACCAAACTTCTCTGGCTTGCATATGAGAAAGCCATGTGAGATAATGTCAAAACATGCTTAAAGTCAAGCAACATGACATTCATTGTTTATTTCTGTAGCAGAAATCTGTCATCTCTCCATAGAAGGAAATTAAGTTGATGTGATGTGGTTTGTTCTTGATGAACCCATCCTGGCTGTTACTCAACTCCTTGCTATCTTCAGAATCCATTTATATAGATTGTTTGATTACTTGGTCCAATATCTTCCTGACTGGTTTATAATTTCCTGGTTTCTTCTCTCCATCTTTTTTAAAGCAAGAAATTATGCTCTCCCTTGTCCAGTTTCCTGGAGACCCATAGATAGTTGCTATTACTTTAGGCCTGTGTATCTCAAACTAGGAACATTTAACTCATCTGAGAACCCTCTAACCTGTTCTCCAACCTGAATACTGGAGCTTCTTCTCTTTTGTTGCTGAAGGTTCTTGGCTCAGTCATCTGGTTAATAAATAGCCATTTATCTTTTTAGTGAAGATGGTTTTAAAAGGCATTAAATCCTGTAGCCATTTCAGCAGCATCCACAAGTATTCCTCCTGTTTATGGAACATACACAGCACTTTCCATTGCCTTCTCCTGGCTACAGAAGTGCTTTTAAAATCTTTTTCTCATGGTCCTGTACACTTTGTACTGTGAGTTTTCCATTTCTGTTCCAGCTGCTTGTGTTATTCTTTTCTACTTGTTCTTAAGAGTTTAACCTCCTTGAACTATGTACATTTTTTGTATTATTTCTTCTTGCATCTCAACAAACAGCTAATAATTTATTCAAGCCATGCTCCAGCTTTTCTTTACCAGGCGATAAGCTTATATTTGTATTCTTGAGGTCAGCTTGCTCAGTCTTGTAACTCTCCCCGAAGTACCAGGCTTCCCACAGAAGCCATTGCTAACAGTACACTCTGGAGCTGCCTTGGTGCAGCTCTCAAAGGTGACATGGTGTGCTAAGCAGATCCACCACTCCCAGTGAATAAGTCTTATCCTTCCCATAGGCTCTCATAATACTTTAGGCTTCTGAAGCCCAAGTGAAACTGGAGAGGACACACCTTAGGAGTGGGTATAATGAACAGTCAGCAACTCATTGCACATTATTCCCTTTCTGAAGAACTTCTGCCCAAGAACAAGCCAGTGTCTGAGTGAAGAACAATGCCATGTAGGAGCTCACTCAACCTAACTTGTAATAAATGAAAAAGAACCATGGGATGGCACAGGGGCAGATGTTCTCTGTACTTTATTGCTGCTCCAGGCAGGTAACACTCTCTGTGTTTGTGTTCTGCAGACAGAAGATTATCTCAAGCACAAGATCAGAAGCAGGCCTGAGCGATCAGACCTGGTCAATATGCACATTTTACAAGGTAAGACTGCCTGAGCTTCTCCCACATACTCCTTGTGTCTCCTGCCTTGTGACTCACATCTCTCCTGCCCGCTTGGGTTCCCTTCAGGACTCTTATCATGATAAACCTTGCAGCAGCTGTTCACGAGAGGCAGATTAAAATGGGACTCATGTTGTATGGAATTCAGTCCAGATCTGGTCTCCAGGAGGCAGGACACACATTTATTCCCTGAGAGAAGCAGACTCAAGGCCATCTAATCTTTGTCCCAACTTTGGGAGGGACCAGTATAAGATACTCTAGAGGACAGTGGGGTAGAGAACAGTTGTGAGAGAGAACTCTGACAGAGCTGACAAGGTCTGTCCTCGTGAAAAGCACATCTGGGGCACCAAAATCTCTCTAGGAGGTGATTGCAATATCCTCCCAAAGCTGGACATCTTTTATTTTGCCTTAATTGTGGTTATTTTGTGTGACAATTCATGGTGATGCAGTCAAGCATCCAAGCACAGCTGCATGAAAATGGTGAGCCCTGCCATCAGTTTGTAAGCCACAGCAGTTCTCCCCTCTCACATCCTGGTGTCCCCTCCCAGCCAGAGAGCTGGCACAGCTCTGCTGCATCCCATCATAGACAGCAGAACACTGCAGTGTCCTTCAGTATCTCGAGAGATAGCGAGCTTCTTAGTGACAGGGAGGATGTGCAGCCTCTCTCCTTGAGTCCTGTCAGTCCCCTGGAAGAAGCAGATCACTCTCTGGCAACTGTAAATGTTGACCTTTGCTTTCAGCATGGATGAAGTAGATATTTCTTTTTCGTTTTGCATGCAGGAGGGCTGAGCCAGGGGACTATGCTGGATCAGTGGTGCTTTTCTCTTGGGTCTCCATCCCTAAAACAAGCTAGCACCATTGTCCATTTTACAGGTAGAAAGTGTCTTTCACTGATGTTAAATAACAGAAGCCATATAGACTGGAGTTGGGTCCTGGGGGCTGTAAACTAGATATGGCAGCAGATGCAGTCACCAGGTATGGGCAGAGCCAGTGAGACACAGCTGGAGGAGACATGAAGCAGAGACTGCCTGGTTCTGCACTGAGCAACTGGCTGTGCTGCTTGACACACACCTCTCAGCCAGATCCCTGCTCTACCCATTGTGCTCTGCATTTCATGGAGGTGTGCCCTGGTGTATCATAGACTTACATGTCCATTTGGTTCATAACAGGATCTAAAGAGGATTAAAATGGCCAGCTGAGATGCCTTCTATCATCTAAATACGTTCCAGGCACACCTGTTACTGTTCACCTCAAAGAACTTATGTACATTCACTGCCCTATATAGTCTGAGGCCAGCAGTGACCCTAGACCAGCTCTCCTGACCTCCTGCACAGCATTTTTCCCTGGTATCGAGCCCTGTAGCTTGTGTTGCCTACAGCATCTCTTCTAGAGAAGTATCCAGCCTTTGAAGATAGCACAACTTAGATGCAGCCCTTCTTGCTTTAGGCCTCTGAGGGTATAGACACAGTCTAATTTAGGATCCCACTCCTTCACTACTCATGCCTGGGCCACCAGAGGAGTCAGATCACCTTTGTTCAGGAAATCACCACTTTCTATTGTTACTGGCCACTCTTGTGTCACCACTCAACAACTGGGAACTTCTCAGCTGAGTTTGGTAGGGCTGTAGCTTCCAGATCTATCTGCCTTTATTATGCTTCTCTCCACTGGCTTGTTTTTTGCCCTGAAGGCTTAGACCACTGTAGCCATGCTGCTTCTAAATGTCCACTCACAAAGACTCAGCTTTTGATCTTCCAGTGTAAGGCATTTACTTCAGTGGTCAAAAGTCCCAGAAGCAGGGAATGCAAGGGCCAACACGCTCCCAGCAGGCAGGAGCTGGTGTTCACTTTGACCCTCATGTTAGTCAGTTTGTTAATGAAGCTTCCATTGCAGATCATTCCTGGGCCTCTGAGAGGATGCTCCAGCTGCAGGCTGGGTTTGCAAGCCTAGGCTTGTAAACAGAGGCTCCTACTTGGGAATGGAGAAGCTGGAACTGAGGCTCAGGGGAGGACCTATGTTGCAAACCCCACCAGCCTCATCAAATGTATCATCTGCCTATCATCTCTGAGTAGACTCAGAGCAGCTCCTGCTGTACACTGAACCATGTTTTGGCCACAGCCCAGAAGGGCTGTGCTGAAGAGGGAGCACATTCTTTTAGAGCACTGTGCTTACAGATGCTCCAGGTCCTGAACTGATGCCTTCCATTTGGCCTTTTAGACTCAGCTGCAGAGGGGTCCATTCAGTCTACTCAAATGAAGCTGAAAAGAGCCCGACTGGCAGATAATCTCAATGAAAAGATTGCACTCAGGCCCGGTCCTTTGGAGCTGGTGGAGAAGAATATTATTCCTGTCGACTCAGCTGTGAAGGAGGCCATAAAAGGTAGTGGAGGTGAACATGTGTGTTGTGTTGTGTTGTGTTGTGTTGTGTTGTGTTGTGTGCAGGGCACAGGTAAGGACTGGCAAGGTTAAAAGGATGTACCACAGCAACTGCAGGAAGTTACCAACCTGAAGAGCTGCATTTATTGCTTAAATTTTACTGTTTTCACAGTAAGCAGCCTGGTTCAGCATGGCCTGTGCTTTCTTATCCAGGCCTATGAAAAGAAAGCTCTCATCTTCTTAGAGCAATGACCACAGAAACATGAACAATTGTTTATCTATGTCTTCTCAGAAAGCACTTCCCTTCTTAAACCCCTTCCCTCTCTAAGTCTTTAAGCACATAAATGATACTGCTGGAGGCAGGACATTCCTTCCTCCCTGGCCTGGGAGAGGACCTTGGTGCACATGTGTGGTTGTGAGTCCAGCCTGGACTCTCCCACTTGTGCCTTGACAGGCTTTTACATCCCAGCAGACAGGCTTTTTTTTTTCCACCAATGACAGTGACATGCAAGGCCCAACAGAGTAGGATGCTGCATGGCTGGGAAAGGGAAATCATCCCTGGGGTGCTAGACTGATGAGGAACATGCTTACCAACCAATACCCAGCACTTTGCTTATGCCTAAGCTTGGTTTTCCTCTGTCACTTACATCCAGCTGCAGGAAGGAGGCAGAATCCTCTGCAATTAGTTCTGTGTGGGAGCTGACACAAAGCAAAAAGGTGACTCAGATTTTGACTCAGGCCCCAGTGCCAGTACAATGAAGTCCAAATGAACAGAAAGGAGCAGGAAAGCCAGGGAAGTCCTTCAGTGCCAGGACAGAAGCCCATATTTTTGAAGCCTGGGGCCATCTCCCCATGTCCAAATTGGCCCTCGGATCTCAAATGCAGCACTGAGGTGCTCTGCCCCCTAGGAACTCTTCTGTTGCTCGTGCTCATCAGGTCATGGGTTTATTTCCACTGGCGTAATCTCTTGTTAGGTGCTTGTTCTGGGGCTTAAAGCAGGCTGGGCACAGTGACAGGGCTCTGGAACAGAAGGGGTCTTTGATGACAGGAGTGATACCGAAAATGGGAATTGAACCAGGAAGCACTGACTTTTGTTTCATCTCAAAAATGACATGAAATATTCCAGGCTTAGATACTGCTCTGCCTTGCCCTGAAATTGTTCCTGCTCTTGGTTTTCCCACTGTGAAGTGCACGCAGCATTCATACGGTGGCTTCTCTGGGCTGGTCTCTAAGCTGCTCCATTTCCAGCATTTCACAGCCCTTGCCTTTGAAGGTGAAATGTTCCAGGACTGTGCCTGAAGAGGAATTTTTAAGGAGAGTTCAAGTAAAATCTCTCCACCTACTTATCAAAGGAGAGAAGAGTGGAAAAAAAAAAGACGTTTTTAAAAAATCTCCTCTTTATAAACATTCAAGGCAGTTTGAGTATGACTTTATCCACTATAGCTGAGGCTTGGAAGCTGGGCAAGTGTGCCTGAAGTTTCAACAGAGTTTCTCTCCAGCTGCCTTGTCAGGAGCTTGTGGTAAACAGAGATTTACAGGACAAAATTGTAAAAAACAAGAAGTCCGGCTTAAAACAATTTGCTCAATTTTAAATTTCTCCCTTTCGCAATGCCCCTCTACCACATCGCTGGGGGAAAAAAAAGTGTTCTGTAAGCCAGTTTTATCCTATTTAGGATGAAACACACAGCATGTTAGGGTCAGACATGAAGTTACTTGGTACTGTTGAGTGCACTGAGAAGGAGGTTGTGCATTTGCACCAGGAACACAATCTCAGGCCTCAGATTTCTGCACAGGAAAGCCCCAGGCTGAAGGATCCTCAAGCTGATTTTCTGAGTCAGAGACGCCATGTGGTGCTCATGGTTTGGGGCAAATGGCTGAACACAGAGCAGAGATGATCACTGGCACTTCTGAACATTAAGCCTTTTGTTTTTGCAATACCAGAAAGATGACAGGGTTTAAAATCATTTTACTTTAACCTTGGAATCTCAAATGTTTATACAGTGGAAAGTTCAGCTGACGTGTTCCTCTAATCACCTCCGGCAGGGCGAGCACAAAGTACCAGACCCCAACCGAAAGCCCTAACATCCCAGTGACAGGAGGCCGCCAGTGCCCTACATAGTTGAGCAGTGATATAAGAACCCTTTTTTACCAGGTCCTTGTCATCACTTTGTCCAATACGCTTGAGAGGACAATACCCAGTGCATTAGAAACAGTCTTGAGCAAACACCATTCTGCCTGAGATTACAGCAGAGACATGGGATAGCAAAACAATATGGTCAGCCTGGACTGGGTGACAGCAGGACAGATAAGGGCAGCATTCCCCACCCGGAACAGGCTCCTGTATGAAGCAACAGGATGCAGCACATTCCTCTCATGCATGTGCTCAGGACTGCCACTGCTGTGTCCTGAAGCTCCCTTGGACTCCCGAATTTGGCACCATTTCTCAACACGTGCTTCTTAAATGCCAGCCCAGTGAGGAGTCTTGTAGATCTGCAAGTCTCCCTCGCTCAGTGTCATTTTTCCCAAGAGAAGATGCCTGCGCTTGTCTGCAGTCACAGAGAGCAGCTCCCACCTAGTCCAGGTGGTAGACTCTGCAGAGTTGCAGTTCTTCAGGGAAGGCCCAGTGGTGTGCTGCCTCTGACAGAGAGGGTCAGGTCCTATTTCCAGGGATATATGAGAAGGCCCATCCCCTGGAAAGCAGGTAGGAGAGGCTCTCCACAGGACGCAGTTGCTCTCATATTTCCACCTGTATGAGGTGGCTGGGAAGCAGCTCAGGGTGGGGAGCCAGAGCTCCCTGCTTCCTCACCCAACCTGGCACCATGAGCTGCAGCAACCAGAGATAACCTTTATCTCTCAGATAGGGGCAAGGGTTGGACAGGAGGGTGTGTGGCAGTGAGAAGGCGCATATTGCTAGACCGGCAGCAGGGACAGGTGGAAGCTTGTCCCCAGACCCTTCCTATTTCCCCATTTGTCACCTTGCTATCAGCGTGCCAAGCTGCCTGACAAATGCCAGACATGAGCATGAGGAGATAACAAGCATGGCCCTGCTGCTCCTTCCTCTACCCCCACTTGCAGCCCTTCTGAGGCTCACATGAGACAGTTTATTTATCAGCAAAAGCTGGGGGTCAAGAGCTCTTGCCCATCTGACTAGGAGATAGTGCGCAGGGAGCTTTGCAGGAGGGAGAAGCAATGTCTGGGGCAGTCAGGGGGCAATGGTAGTGGTTTGAAGCATGTCATATGGATGAAGCTTGTGGATCTGGAAGTCTCTGCTCAGCCACAGTCAGGTCCGTGCATGTTGACTCTTGTGCCATGAACAGATGGGTCGCCCTCCGGACGGTTTCAACTTCAGTTCTTTGGACTCTCATGTGTGGTGTGGGCTGGAGGTCAGGATGCTCAGCTGATGTGGAGGGCAACTCTAATTTCCATCTCCCCATCTCAGCCCAACTGGCCTCACATCCCTTCTCCCACGGCACAGCTCACCTCCCCCTTGCAGGATTACCCCCCCCCGTGCTGTCAGAGCCACTCCTGTGCCAGCCCCCCAACATACTAACAGCTTACTGCCCCTGGCAGGCCAGGCTCCTTGGGGCTCCCTCGCCCTGGTAACATGGCCCATGGTGCTGTTCAGAAGCTGATGCCACCTCCTGTGCCACCAGCCTCGGCTGCAGGGGCACACCCAGGAGCTGCCTCCGTGCATGGCTGGGGACAGGAGGAGGTAGTGTCTGACCTCTCCGAGCACCATATCCTTCACCTGAGGCCAGGTCTGGAGGGGGTTGACACAGGCGCGGAGGCATCCCGCAAGGCTCACCCATCCTTCCTGCCACCATGATCCCCCTCTTCCAGCAGGGCAGAGCCCTGACCGCCACCCCTCTTCCCTGGCAGGCACCCAGGTCAGCTTCCCTAAGTCGACTGACGCCTTCGCTTTCGAGGAGGACAGCAGCAACGATGAGCTGTCTCCAGAGCAGGCCAGGAGCGAGGACTCCCCGGGTTCCACTGAGTCGACCCCGGCCCAAAGCCCTGGGAGCCAGCCCCTGCCGCCCCTGCCGGGCCGCCCCAGGTAAGGCCCGCGGAACCCGGCTTCCCCGGGGAGCGCAGTGGACGGGACGGGAGGCCCAGGCCTAGGGAGCCGCCGGGACACAGGGCTGCACGGGGCCGCCCTGCCCCCTGCTGGCGGGCGGGGGTACTGCAGCTGTCGGTGCTGGAGAGGGACTGGGAAGACTGGAGCGACTGGGAAAATGGAGTGGACCGGGGAGCAGAGGGACTGGAGAAACTAGCCTGGGCCTGGGGAGACTGGGAGGACTGGGGAGACTAGCCTAGGCTGGGCAAGGGGTGGGAAGACTGGGTGCAACTAGGGTCAACTGGACTGAGGTGGGAGGGCTGAGTTGGAATGGAGAGGGCTTGGAAGCTGGGATGGACTGGGGAGACAAAGAGACTGGGAGGGGCCTAGCATAGCCTGGGAGAAGTGGAGATATAGTCGGCTGGGATAGACATGGCAGAACTGGGGTGGACTGAAGCATGTGAGACGGACTGTGGATGACATGGGACAGGGAATGGGGTACCAGGTGTCCCTTGCCCTGGCACTGGCCCCACACCCCCTCTCCCATGGCACAGCTCACCTCTCCCTTGCAGGATCACCCCCACAGCGCTGATGGCCATGCACCGGACTCGACGTCAGAGCAGGGCAGCCAGTGTGACAGCCCCAAGCAGGCAGCGGGGCAGGAGAGCCCACCCCTGCCGATGCCCTCAGCCGTGAAGGTAATGCCTGTGCCTCCAGGCTCCCTGGGGGAGGGAACAAGCCCAGGACACCTGACTGCATCCAAGCCTGAAGTGCCCACATGCTGCACCCCACATGTATGGGAAGTCTGGGGTTTGACCTTAAGGCTTGGAATAACCCAGGGAGACATACCTTGTTGTCAAAAACTGCAATTTGACTCATTTTGTAATGGTGTACGGTGTAGTACGGCACCCTGCAAGAGGTGATTGCTCAGGTCCTGCACTGGACACATTCCCTGGGGTTAGGAGCAGGAGATACAAGGCAACACTGAAATACCTTCCAGGCAAGAAGGGTCATTCTCCATCTCATGTACTGTCCCGCACAACTGAGATGAGAAGTGGCCCTGAGGGAGTCCCCCACATGCAGGCTCAGCAGCTATTGGAGCTGGAGTGTCAGGGTATCAGCAGGAGCTGTCGCTGTCTCTGTCGCAGGCCTCTGAGTTCTCACGGGGGTGGCAGAAGCTCTCCTCCCAGCTAATTCCTTTCCTTCTTGGACCAACAGTCCAAATCATCCAGTGATAGCAAGAACCGTCACAAAAAGCCCAAAGACACCAAGCCCAAGGTGAAGAAGCTGAAGTATCACCAGTATATCCCTCCAGACCAGAAGGCAGAGAAGTCCCCTCCACCCATGGACTCTGCATATGCCAGACTTCTCCAGCAGCAGCAGCTCTTTCTGCAGCTCCAGATCCTCAGCCAGCAGCAGCAGCAACAGCAGCAGCAGCAGCAGCACTTCAGTTATCCAGGGACACACCAAGGCCAGCTAAAGTGAGTGGCTATGTGCCAAAAGCAGGGTTTAGCCCTGTCTCTCTGTAAGCTTTTCCCTCCTGTACCCATTTGTGCTAGTGCAAGGGGAATAGATGCATGCAAGTGAAACATAAAAGTTTGGGAACATAGCACAGTCTCCTGCAAAGCTGTTCTACTTTGTGCACTGCCTGAGGCATCAGTGACTTGCTGGTGGGTCAGCGACAAGCTGCTTTCCGCACAATCTGGTTTTCTTTGGGGTTGATTGTCGTTTGGGTCTCATACGTAGCAGCCCCAAGGGGGTAGAGAGACGGTACACTGGGCATAGAGACCCCAGGGGGACAGACAAGTTAACCCAAATCTCCTTTGTTATTTCAGGCAATCTAATGAGCAAATGGTCAAAAGTTCAAATTCTTCATCAACTTCTGTCAACAACACCCCTCTTTCTCCTGTGAAAACCACCTTTTCAGGCCAGACTTGTGTCTCATCTATCAAGCCAGGCCCTTTGCCGCCTAACCTGGATGATCTGAAAGTGAGTGCAAACATTGTCACTGCAGAAGCAGAATCTTACAGCCTGAATGTGCTTTGCTACCCCTGAAGCATGCAGTGTAGGGCAGAGGCTGAGCCGGCTGGGAGTGACCACACATTACAGATCAGCAAACCAGAACCACCATGCTGTGAGCAAACTCAGGAGTACACCATGCTGGGTCAGGAATTGGACACAAGGGTAACTGAAAACATGGATTTGCTGCTCTGCAGGTGGCATTGCTCCAGGGCATGAGCCAGCAAACCTTAGGTATAACTTGAGATGGTTGTGGGCCTGGCCATCAGGTCAAGGACTGAAGTATGATCTGTGCTGCTGCTCCTGCAGCTCATGGCTCCATACCTTCTGTGGTTTTGTGGTGGACATCATGGATGCTCGTAGCAGACGAGGTAGAAGCTAGGTCAACATGGCCTCCACTTAGTGACTCAGCTTCACAATGTTCACTGCAACCAGGACAGCTCAGGTCTCTGCACAAGCAGGTATCTCCTGAAGTCTGCAGCTACAAGCACGGCTTTGAACAGTGCCTAAATCTCTCATGTAGGCCAGACAGGCAGAGCATAAGGGAGAATCATTTACATCAATCGCTTTTCTAGACTTTGCTAATGGAGCTGCAGCCATGGGGAAGGCCAGGTCCTTTAAGGAGCAGGGACCTGGGGGCAATATTCATCGTGAGAGAAAGAAATAGGATGAGCTAGAATTAACATGAGTTTAGCCATAGCGATCCCCCAGCTCAGATGCCTGTACATGGTCACATTCTCTGAGCTAAAGGATGCCATCAGGTGGTTCTTGGTCCTCTGCTTATTTAGAAACCTACTGTTGGGAAGGGAATCTTGGGTTACCTCCATGGCCTAAGGACCACTGCTGGTTCGTGAAGTGCAGTCACAGTTCCTGGAGGAAGAAGGAAGGATTTCCTGTTAGGAAAAGTCAAGGTCCTGCAGGATATGCAGTGGTCAAAGCTGTGCATGGTGACTCTGGTGACTGCAGGTGAGACAGTGAGCACATACTAGGTCAGAGCTTTAAAGCAGGAAGCTGAGAGCCTGCGATCTGAGACTCCTTGTTAGAAATATTTGATTTGTAAAGGGCTCATCTGCCATTGGGACTGACTGTTGGTGACTTTCCCTCCAGGTGTCAGAACTGAGACAGCAGCTCCGAATACGAGGCCTGCCTGTATCGGGTACTAAAACAGCGCTGATGGAACGGCTGCGGCCCTTCCAGGAGTGCAGCAGCAATGCAGTGCCAAACTTCAGTGAGATCACCACCGTCACCTTCCCAGTCACTCCGACAAGCACCCTGTCGAGTTACCAGTCACAGTCCTCCACCAGCATGTTATCAAATGGCTTCTACCACTTCGGCAGCACCAGCTCCACCCCACCCATCTCTCCAGCCTCCTCTGACCTCTCTGTGAGTGGCTCTTTGCCAGACACATTCAATGACGGGCCCATGTCTTCTCCACAGTTTGGTCTCCAGCCATCTCCAGTTCATGGCAGTGCTGAAGAAAGTCTCATGAGCAGCATGAATGGAGGGAGCATTCAGCTGGAACTGGAAGGGATCGACACAGAGAAAGACAAAATGCTGGTGGAGAAGCAGAAGGTCATCAATGAACTGACATGGAAGCTGCAGCAAGAGCAAAGGCAGGTGGAAGAGCTACGGATGCAGCTTCAGAAACGAAAGAGAAGCAATGGCCTTGAGGAGAAGCAGCAGCCTGCTCAGCATTTCTTTGGTGTCCCCATCAAGCAAGAAAATGCAGTGTCCAGCTGTCCGTTTGCATCCAAACAAACTGCCTTGAAAGGCCAAGCCAGCAGCTCAGATAAGTTAAGTAACTGTGGGGTGTCACAGCTGCCTCACATTGTAAATAGCCACTGCTTGGAGCCTGCAGGGCAAAGCACCATCACCTCCTCGACATTTCTGAGCCCACAGTGCTCCCCTCAGCACTCTCCACTTGGGGCTGCAAAGAGCCCCCAGCACATCAGCCTGCCACCGTCCCCTAACAGCCACTATCTCCTCTCGGTGTCCCCTGGCTCACAGGCAGAAGGGCGCAGCGGGTCCCCACAGACCAACAGTTGCCTTCGCACAGCATCGGTAAGTGGAGATCACCCCGGACAGCATTGCAGTGGTGAATGCTCTGGTGTCTGTGGGCAGCCGGTCAAACATTCCAGTTTGAGTCTTTTCCTATTGGGACTGCTGACACCCAGGGTGTGTATCTAAGGTGGCCATAGCAGCCTGTGGGGCTGCCTGGAAGGGCAGGCAGTAGCCCAGTTGGAAGCTGATGGCACCTCAGGGTCCTTTGCAAGGCATCTCCTGGAGAGCCCTGCTGCCACTGCACCCAATTGCCCTGGGGTTCACAGCACAGCTTCCATGCCCCATGGAGCCCTAGCACAACTCCTTCTGCCCTGAGTGAGTCCTGACACAGCTCCCCACTTCTCCAGGAGACCCCAGCACAGCTTTCTCTGCCCCTGAGTGAGCACTGGCAAAGCTGCCTGTGTCCTGGCACAGTGTCCTGGCACAGCTTCCTCTACCCCATGGAGCTCTGGCACAGCTCCCTCTGCCCTGTGGAGATCTGGCACAGCTCCCTCTGCCGTGGGGGAGCATTGGCACAGCTGCTTCTGCCCTAAAAAAGCCTTAATGCAGCTGCCTCTTCCCTCAGGGGGAGGCCCTGGCACAGCTTGCTGTGCCCCTGAGGGAGTCCTGGCACAGTTCCCCATTCCCCATGAAGTCCTGGCACAGCTTCCTCCACCCTGGAGAAGCCCTGGCACACCCTCTTCTGCCCCATGGAGCTCCAGCAAAGCTCTATCCACAGCGGCAAAGCACCAGCACAGATCCTTCAGTCCCTGGGAGAGGCTTGGCACAGTTTCCTGCACCCCTGGGAAAGCCCCACTGCAGAGTTGCAGGCCTTCTCAGCATCTTGCCGAGCCATTACAGGCAGTGGGGCAGGGCTGTGGGTACAAATGCGGTGGGACACAGTGCTGTAGGCAATGCTCCAAGACAGGCAACAGGGCTACTCTGGACAATGGGGCACAGTCAGCAAGCATTAGCAGGGAGCAGTGACACTTCAGGGACATCTCCAGATCCTGCCTCACTGCCTGAGCACAAGGAACATACAGAGGTGATGGCCTCACGGTGTCCTGCAGCACATGCTGGCTGTGACAACACCCATCCTGGGCATTCTGCTGCTGCCTGCAAGGGGCTCCCAGAGGTGAGGGTCCCTGTTCAGCAGCAGCTCCCTCTCTGTGCCCAGTGTTGGAGTGCTGTCCTTGCCAAGCCAGGGATACTATTCCTCCCAGAAAGATGGCCAGAATGTGCACAGCCAGGCCAAGTGGCCTCACCGCTGCCCTGGATCCCCTTCTGGATCTGGCCTGTCTGCCAGGACCATGCTGCATCACCTGGTGCTGGCTGTCATGGGATGAGGCAGCTAGAGCCAGGTGGTGGGAAGGGCACACAACGGCCTAGAGGCAATGGGGACAGCAGCTGGCCAGGCACTGGACCTTTAGATGAGGTTCCTCCTGGAAGCAGGGACTGACAAAAAGCTGGCTCTGATATGCAGGTGTTTGGCACAGGCACAGGGTAAATCTAAGTATTGATCTGTCAGTGACTCTTTTGAATGATCTTCCCTGGGCTCTGTGAGATACCCTCAGGCAGGTGATGATGAAGAGGATCCTCAGCAGAGGGGCTGCAGGGGGCAACTGGCAGCCAGGGAAGTGCTGTGTCATGGCAGGGTGCAGCTGGCCACCAGCAGCCCATTTCTCTTCACCCCTTGCTCTGCACGTTCATGGCTGGACCAAGCACCAAGATGCTCTGTGGCACCATGCCTGTGCTCTAGTAACAACTGGAGGTCAGCCTGGCCCTGCAACTCAGAGCTAGGCTGACAGAGCCAGTTTACCTGCTGCCCAGAGGCCAGGCACTTTGACTGAGCTGACTTGACCCACAAAATCACTAGTTTCCCTGGCACCACTCTGGCTTCAACAGGAGTGAAAAAGAGCTGGGCGTCCTGCCGAGCCTGCCTGTGCATTGACTCCATTTCCCTGTATTTCCCCCATGCAGATGGCTACGCAGGCAGGTCAAAAGTTTTCTATTCCATCCCCAAGTTTTTGTAAGTCAAGCCCAGCCCTCTCAGAGGTAAAGCAGCCTCCACCCTATGAGGATGCAGTAAAGCAGGTAACTGCATGATTTTTATTTTCTATAGGGCTAGGGCTGCACAGGGTGTTCTTCTGCGGTTAATGTAACTCATTGGCAGGAGTTACAACCCACTGTGATGTCCCTGGGTAGAAAAGGCTTGTTTCCAGAAGGAATGGGCTTTTCTTGAAGAGTTCATTGCTGAATGACTGCCACAAAGCCATCAGACATCGCACTGGATGGGATAGCATCTTCTGTGCTGATGAAAGGCACCAGCCCACTATAGGGTCCTGATATCCTGCATAAATACTTCAGGACTTTGGTGTGCTCTTCTTTAGGGTGTCCAGTGTTATGTGAGAAACAGACTCCTGAGCATCCCAAGTCAGCAGGAAAACACACCTCCCCTCTTTAACCCATTAGCAAAGTGTCCTGCTCTGTGCCATCTGCCTCCCTTAGCCTTACCCTAGAGCTCTGGGAGACAGTCCTGCTTCCCATGGGGAGGGCTGTCTCCATTGCCCATCAACCCCTTCTTGTGAGAGTCTGTCAGCATCCTCAGTGCTGGTCACAGTGGTGCCTTTAGGAAAATGGAGCACTACTGTTGGCAGTTATATAAATGGGCTTATGGTGGCTGGCAGGGAGGCATGCAGTTAGTCCTTCCAGTCTCCAGTCAGGGAGAAGAGGATGACAATGTATTGCCCCAGGGAGCTGAAGGGAGTGCAAGGAGGCACATGCCAGTGAAAGGTGCTAGATCCAAAAATGTTGGTGTGTCCTGATGGCCTTGGGAAGAGACAGTCTGTGGTGGCCATTGAGCAGAGAGTCAGGGTGGGGGGAACCTGGTGCTGTGCTCCCTGAATCCTCCATGCTTGTCCCAGGGCTCTTCAGTGCTCACCTAAAAGCCACTGCCAGTCCTGTGTTGGAGTGGCATCTCTCCTACATGGGAGAAAGCCCTCTGTGGGGTCTAGAGCCACTGGCTTGTGGCTGGAGGGACTTTCCTCCTAATGTCCTCTACTCTCCTCTTTGTCGTTTGCTGCAGCAGATGACACGAAGTCAGCAGATGGATGAGCTCCTGGATGTGCTGATTGAGAGTGGAGGTACGCAATGCTTTCCTGTTTCCCTTCAGGGCTTCCCCTCCAAGTCAGCATCGGTCCATGGGGCTCAGTGCACTCTGTGCACCCCAGCAGAGCTGCCTGAGTTGAGTGCAACTTTCATTTGCCCTCCCTGTTCCAGCAGCCACTGAGATTGAATTCAACAGCACGCTGGCCCTCCTGGATCCTGCTCCTGCACGTGCAGAGCTGGTGGGTGGTCTGGGCTTGGCTATCACCTATGCGGACTGCACAGAGAGAGCGATGGCAGAGCAACAGTCCTTTGCACAGGACTGCCAGCACCCTCCTCACACAGAGATCCCAGTGTCCCCCACAATTCCCAGTGCTGCCAGTGCCATCTCCTGCATAGAGCATTGCTGGTGCCCTCCCCTGTGCACAGTGCTGCTCATGCCCTTTCCGCTGCACAACCCATACCTGGCCCCCATGGGGCCAGCTACCAGTGCTTGTGCCCTGGGAACTGTGTCCAATACCAGGAGAGCCAAGATCAAAAAGCAGG